TTCTTGAGAGGTTGTTTGTCATCCTGCAATATGTTCTTCCCTGTAGCTGAAATACTCTTGAAAGTACCTACAGAAACTTAAATGCGGGTATGTATTAATGGCTTAGACTGTCTAATGCGTTTACTCCTGATAGATTTGACTGTTGGTAGTGTGGGTGGTGTGTGCAGCGTTTGGGGTTTTTTTAGAATGAGGGAGAAGACTGAATCTGACAGGAGCATAATCTTGAGTTGTTTCCTTTTTTGGAAGGTTACATTTGCAATGTTGGTTTTAAGAATATTTCTAAACAGTGAGGGAGAGGGTTATCGCTTAGTCGGCTAGCTGTACGTGCTCAGACAGTGGTCTCATATGTTCATTGGTTGTAGACATTTGATGCAGGCTCTCACTTCCTTCTGCTACTTATGCAAGCAAATAAAAACCCTGAAGATTTCCCTTTGGGAAGAGAGAGAATATGGCAATGAAATTGAACACAGTAATACATGTTTTTCTCTCATGTCTTTCTGCCTGCTTGAGCTTAACAAAAATCACATTTCTTCGGTTTTACAGAAGTTGACATGAAATAGTGCCCTTTACATTTTAGGTCTCTGAATGACTTCTGTGCTTGCCAGATATTTTTTTTAGAACACCCCTGTGGAGCTTGGGGGAAATCTGTTGATAGTGTTACTGGTGCTAGTTCTGATAAGGTTTTTGAAAACTTTTTCTACTCTCAAGTGTTTATTTAGAAGGGCACAAGAGAAGACAGCTATTGTAGTCTGAGACCAGGTATAACTTTTTTTTTCCACTGTTCATGTACAATCACATCTGAATTTTTAATTCAGTGCTTTTCACTAGATACTGAATAGTACATCACATGTGTTTAAGAACAGAAGAATGCTCTAACTGTTTAAAACCAGGAATTCAAAACTAGATTTTTAAGTAAGCCATAGGTGTTTGTGACCTCAACAGAGCTACTTTAAGGTGGGAAGTGGGATTGTAGGAGCTCATGCTCTATCTTGATAAGAAAGAAGCCTAAAGCAGACATGTCATTGTTTATGTATAGGAAATCTGTTTCACAAAGACTTACTAACTCTGTCTCTGGAAGTCTCTGGCAGAGATTGAAAATTAATTCAAAATTTTAAGTCCTAGTTAAAGAGCTCTTTATAGCTGGAACTTGCCTAGGATGTTGGAGGTGAAAAAGTGTACTGCCTTTAAAGTTGTTAGGAGGTGCTTGATCTGAGAAGCACGTGCTGTGTTTTTCATATGTTGATTTTTGGGTCTTTGCGGTCTGTTTAGGGTGATACCGGGAAAAAAATTCGAGACAATAAAAACTACATCTAATCAGCACAGTAAGCTGAATTTGGTGTTCCTTTTCCCCCTTTGCAAATATGAAGAACTTCTGTTTTTGCAACAAAATGGTGGGTGAACTACTGATGCTTATAAAATGACCACCATGGCTAATTATCTCAGTGCAGTCACTTATGTATGCATCATTGCACTCTGCTCTACCTTTCTGCTTCCCTCTGAAAGTGGACACAGCCCTTGCTCTGCAAGTAATGATAATAATTGGTAGTAAGACAGACCTGTTACTCATCCTTTTTTGAGCACATTTCTTATGGCAGGTGTCTGGTTTTTAATTAACTGCTAATGAACATGCCTAGTAGACCATGATACTGCTGCCAACTTATTTCATTTTATATCTCACTGCTGCTAAGCTCTTAAAAGGTGACAGAGCAGGCATTAGTGTCTTTGAAGTGACGGGGAAGTGATTATATGCATAACATAATTGTTTCTAGGATCTGCTATGGCAAATGTCTAGTTACTAAATACATCTGGTGAGCGCTGCTGTTATCCATCTCCCTGGTCTTTAGTTTCTTCCTTTGTGTGCAGCACATATTCCCTTTTCCCCTTCTAGAAAGAGAATACAATACTTTTAACAATTCTAGTTTTTTAAATAAAAAGAGCATGGACTTCTGGAAAGAATCATTTTTATCTATATGTCAGGGAGAACTTTAAACCTATTATGAATAGGTAATATATAAACAAGAAATCAATATATTTCAGTCTTAAACATCAGTGAGCTTCAGATAATAAACATTAAATCACAATATACCTTTGTTGCCTTAAAAGACCATGATCAGGTTTTCAGTATTAAGTCTGTTTAATGTAGTTGGATATTTAAGCATCTTTGGGTACCATTTTCCTCTGCTACCCCCAGTAACCATTTTGCAAAGCTGCTAAGATGTTACGCAGAGTGATGTGTTTCCACTTACAGCTCTCATATACCATTCTACACCTTACACTGGATATTGCTCCCCACTGTTCGTATGCAGTCCCGTTAGAGAAACAGGACATAGCCCTTCTTGTCATGTGCTTTCAGGTTCAGAACTTGTTAGAGGGGATTAATCTGTTCCTCATTTCTGAGACTTTCAAAATACCCTGTCTGTAGGCTACAGAGCAGAGCCAGGGAAATTGTAGGTAACATGTCCCTAACAGTTTGATTTCTAAAGACATTAAGCTATGCTTCCTGAAATCGTGTGGGTTAACTTGTTTGCTAATTAAACCAAGCAAAAGAGGCATGCATAATGGGAATCTTCACAGGCTTCCTGAAGGGGTAGGGACAAGAACGGAAACAATTTAACTTCGTTTCCCTATTTTGACCTTCCCACGTGCACACTGCAAAAGAAGCTAATTTGAGCTCACTGTTGGAGAAGGGAGGAGGTTTTTCTCCACGAAACCAATTTGGAAGGGATAAATCACTTTTTGTTCTTAGCCAATTGCACACCACAACTAGGTAATCCAGTGTGATAGTGCAGCTGGGGACAAGTAAGAGCAATGCCATGAATGCAGTACAGTGCTGCTGATGCATGTTGTCTCGTGGCTAGAGTGCAGATGACTGACCTAGCTTAAGTGGTCAACAAGGAAGGGAACAACTGAGATACCATCTCTCTGAGAGAGCCTGCCAAAACATCAGGTTATCTCGTGATTTGAGGAAACATGCTGGAAACTACTAAAGTCTTGATGAAGTCTGTGAGAAGAGAGATGTCCTCTTGTTCTTTAGAGGCTGGATCAAAAAAACCCCAACAAACCCCAAACTCTACAGTCTTGTCAGACTTTACAGCGCTCTTTACTGATAGTTCTTCAGTTAAATTAAGTTGCACTAACAATAGCTGCTTCATTTTGTAGAAGGTGGTCTACTACTTTAACTACTTCAAATAAAAATAATTAATATTTCCTTCAAAATGTTACTTTTTGGGTTGTTGTAAACACATTAAAATAGAAGAATAAGAACTACTTCTCTCTTCCCTTGCTTTTTAAAGATGCTGAAAAGTTGGCAAGGATAGTGATCAGATGTACGTATTACAGTGAAGACTAGCGAGGCTTTTTATGCAGCACATGAAAACAAATGCCTGATACATGGCGTGAGAAAGATTTAGTAAAGTTGTGGCTTTATAGAATAGACTAAAGGAATTGTGGTAAATTTTAAGATTTGTCTTGTATATCAAAAATAGTAAATGATGGCTGCATTACCGTTGGAACAGCACAGAAGTGAAAGATTAGCAGGTCTAGTCCAGAGTTCTTCAGTGTCAGTCAAAGTCATTCATGTGCCAGTAGATGTTGTGCGGGTATTGTTGACAGTTTGTCTTGAAGAGTCTTGGGACCTATGGAAGCAGATAAAATACTTTTGGATTATTTTGAGTTGAGTTATTATGGAGTAACTTGTGAAATGCTGTGAGCTTTAGTCTGGGTATGGTTTCAGTAGCTGTCAGCAGTAACAATTTTGTCAGCTCTTATAGGACCACTAGCATTTACCAGGTCAAACTCTCATGTCCAGCTGAGCTCATCCTCTTTAGACATTTGCTTATCTGTCTTCTCATTGATCCCATGAATTGGGTGGTACTCTAGCTTTTTCCATGTTATCCACCTTCAGCAGAGAGATGGTGGAGCATGGCCAAGGTGGAGACGTTTGTTCTGTCTTCTGTTCATACCCCCAGGCACAAGGAAGCAGGAAAGAGGCTGAAAATCTGTTTACCTGTAGCAGACTAAAGGGCAGCTATGATTAAGCTAAAGATGGTTTTGAAGCTTAATTTTCTAAATAAATCTGTGCTGAGCATTTTAGACAAATTAAATGGTTAGCTGAACTTGGAAAATATTAATAGAACCATAACAGCTTTACTATAAAATATCGTAATATTTAAACCATAGGGAAGTCATTCCATTATAAGGACTCTGTTTCTAAAATTGCTTACAGGTTATTTTGCCAGATTGGTTACAGGGTTGTATGTCCAGTCATTGTGATATTGATCTTGCAAGCTGCTTTTGAAACAGATGGAGGTATTTTAATTCATTAATATCATGTTTCTTGTTGGGAATTCCATGACTTATTGATGCTATCTGGAATACCTGGATTTTAAGCTCAAAGTTGGTTCCTAAATACAGTGTTAGTTCATTAATAATTTTTTTTTTCCAAAAGTTTGGCTAGAATAAAATATAAATTTAACTACACTAAATATGAAATTGAGCAGTTTCTTTTAGGTTTTTTAATATTCAAAATAGAAAACTACTTACTGGTTCCAAATTGAGGGAAGAGAGGGGGGTGAGTTTAAATCAGCGTTGCCAGTGAAACTTGTTTTTTTTTCCCAGAGCAGTGATACTTTTTTCTACAGAAAGGGAGAGGTATTTGGGCCTTCTGCTGCTGTTGTTTGTTTGTCACTGGTGATGCTGTGGCAGGCGGTAGCTGCCCAAAACAACCTACCGTAGTTGAACCTATTCCTTGGGCTGCAGAAAAAGTATCCAGCTAGCCTTTTTTGGTTTATGGGACATGAGCAGAGGTGCCCACAGACAGCATGATATAATGCAGTATGTATAGTGTGGTGGGACAAAGAGGAGAGGCTAGATTTAAGACGGACAAACAAATGAAAAAGTCCACTGTTGATTTTCAATAATTAACCAAACTTCTTCCTTCTTCTTCCCAAACTATGTGCTATGCGTTGTTCTTCTGGGGATGGTGATACTGCTGGGAACAGCAGCAGCAGTTGCAGGCTCAACATCTCTCCCATGGCCATGGACCTCCAGTGCCTCTAACACCACATCCATCAGGACTTCAGCCTCCAGGAATCCCTCCACTCGGAAGCAGTGCTGGCCTTCTCGCCCTTTCTAGTGCTTTGGGTGGGCAGTCTCACTTGGCAATAAAAGATGACAAGAAGCATCACGATGCAGAACACCACAGAGGTGAGAGGCATGGCAGGCCTGATTAGGACATTGTCAAATTTGCGCATTGCTGCAAATTATGTGCATCTCTAAAGAATTCAAGTTATATAGAATGAGAAAAAACTGTTGCAAACTTAAAAATGTCTGCATATATACCACTGAAGCAAAATTCAGCTTGGAATTTTTCAGTATTTTAAAAGGGGATCGCTAGGTGTCACCTGCTCTATAGTTTGCAGGGCATTTTGACATCCTGGTAAATGCTTAGTTGTAACTCCAGTGGCCTGCACCATATTGTGGAAAACTGTTAAACTGCATAATGGGTAATTTTTTCAAAGAAAGTAATGTTGTTAAATGGGTGGGTGGGAAGGTAGGGGGAACGAGAAGTTAAATTTTGAAGTGAATGTGTTCAAACAAAAGATTTAAATAATTGCATCTGTTACTTTAGTTTCATAGGCTTAAATTCTAGTACGCAATTAAATATTGGGCAAAATTGCACTTGACTAATTTTTGAAAAGAGAATAATTTATTCTGTCATGAAATAAAAGTAGGCTTTGTGTATGGTTAAACTGTAAATCATGTTTACAAAATACTGTAATTTTCAGGAAATCACTGTATTAGGAATGTGCAATGACTTATATAAATAAAAGCCATTTTAAAAATGTTTGTGGCTTGTGTTCTAATTTTTTTCCCCCCTTTTTTATTTCTGTTCTTGCCTCTGTGTCTGAACGGGCATGTCTGTGCATTTCTTGGTTACTGCGGGAGCAGACAGAGAGCCGGGCACAGTAAGTACCAACATT